GGTATGTTGCAGGTAAGAGGTGATGATGCTGATGATCCAACAACGTACTTCGTAACTTTTGGAGAAAAAGATGCTCGCTACTTGGTATAGTTATCTTAGTCAATTTTGAGTTAGAGGATGTAACAATCGTTTGATGCGTAATACTTGCATACTATGCAGCCCTTGCCTACAAAGCTTGTTTTACAAAAGAAGAAGGCAAAAGAGGGAAGGTCTGGTGATGAGATCGAGCAGTTTCCAGTGCCATCAAGGGTGACTGTGAGGAAGAAATCAACTACTACATATGGAGAACCAAACGAATATGGGGAAGCATCTAGAAATAATGTATAGAAAATTTCACTTCTGAATTCCTGCTACAATGCACCATAGATCATGTTTTTTAATTATGTTCTACACTGCAATTTCCTAGATTCAATAGCTTCATAAGTTTTGGCTGTGCTTTCTAGTAATAAATTTACACAGATGAAATATCTAGCCATCAAACTGTTTGATTGTTTGTTAGCTGGTGTTCACCTTGCTTTTGTTGGTAACATTAAATAGTCCTGTTGCTGCATATTGTTTGAGTATGTTGTGATCCAAGTGTTGTTACCTTTAAGGCTTTAACTTCAGGGAGCATATAAACATAACATGGTGCATTATAGGAACATTCAGATAATATCACCATGTGTTTAGTATTAAGAGTACATATTTATTTACTGTTAAAATAAGAAGTGGATATGATTTATCCGTTCATACATCACATATTAGATGAAGTGTATAGATGTTCGCATGCTCACACATGTTGTTATGGTTTCTCATGTTCATAATGTAATATAAGATGCATGAGATGTTCTCATAAGCCACAAGCATACTTTGGTATCAACTGTGTTACTTTTACAGTTGTGTTTAAATTCTGTTCATGCAACATATGCGTGTGTGTGTGGAAGTATGTGTTTATTTATGTATGTATATTGAGATTATATATATATATATATATATATGTATGTATGTATGTATGTATGTATGTATGTATGTATGTATGTATATTGAGAGCAGTTATTTATCTTACGATGCCTTACTAGTGGCTAAGAATAGTATGTGCAACCAGGTGCCTATGCATATACTTGCAGATGTCCATCTATGTTTTCTTGACAAGCATAGCTTCATCTCTATTTGCATTCTTGTATTCATAGATAAGGTCTACATATATAAATTGTTTTACATTTTGGAATAATTCTGCTTAGTTGAATCTAATATATTGTTGTAGGCACCCTGCACACTGCCTCTCTATTGGAGAAAGGCATTGCAGTGGCCTTTGTTGTCCTAGTCTCCAGTGTGGGCTATTCTTCTTATTCCTGGCCTTCTTCAAGCTCTCCTGAATGGAAATTAAGAGCATCCCAAAACATTTTCACTATCAAGTTACCCATCTTCCTGCTCTTACTGATCTTCACACTGACCAGAAAAAGATAAAAGAACATCTATTCCTGGGCCAAATGGGCGGATTTACTTGAGAACACAACTTTTATATATTGGCAAGGAAAATAACACTGAAATTTTCTTGGTAATATTGAGAAAATCTAACTTTATATAGGATACTATTATCTATAGCAATCACAGTTTAAATATCTAGGCAGACATGAGGTTCCTACTGATAGGCAAATCAAGTTTTCATTTTACTGATCTGAGTACACAAAGGTCTTTTCTTTCTATTAGTTCTTTGATTGTTACCAAGTGATTCTGAAATCTGAATACATTAAAATATAGTCTTCTTTGAAATTTTGGAAACCTACCCTCTTGATTTTGGATACTTGATACATTTATTGTTTCTGTAAGTTCATTGAACTTAAAGTCTTAATTGATATTTGGGCATACGATTTCATGATTATATAGATATGATGTTTAAATATTGTCTGTATGTTAGAATATTTACTTAATGATTTAGTTCTTTGAACCTCTTAGGAATTCTGAGTGCATACTAAACCCAAGATGATTAAGTGTATGGGTGGATATAGATTTAAATCCTCTTGAATGTTAAATATAGCTCTTACTCAAGTCTGTTGAATCTAACATGTGTTCTCTATATGCAGAGTAACAATTACATATTGTTAAGAAACCTTGAAACTGTCATCTTTTGTTTCTTGTATAGAGATATTCTCTTATTGGTAGAAATTCGTTGTTTCAAATCTTTGCAGTTCTGCATGGGACGATATAGGTAACATGTGTTTGTTATGGACTAATGCTTGCATGATACTAATGGTGCATTTGTTATTTCAGAAATCTTTATCTTAGTGCAGTTACATTATATTTTGAAATCATCCTAATAATTCTGAAAATGTACTATAGGAAAAACTGGATGTCAGGAACATAAAGCGAGGACGTTCCTCAATGGATGATGACCTTGAAAGGCAGCATAAATTTCAGAGAACAGAAGATATAGATCAGTTCAGTGGGGAGGAAGATATGTCTGATTAACTGTGACAATATGTCAGCATCGCCATTGCAGAGTTACTTCTGGTGTAGCATCATCATTTGCTAATCCCAGTGAATGTATGGGTCGTCAAAGAAGCCCGTTTGACCGAAATGGATGTCTATTTCAGAACTCAGAAGTCACGTAAGGCAAGATGGTGATATTTCCCCCCTACCAGTATTAGTACATAAGCTTTTGGCTTACATGTCAAATGTGATGAAGTTTTTCAAGCCGTTCAAGCATTATACAGCTGTGTCATTTTCTTGTCAAGTTTATTACCGAGAATAGATGTATGTTTTTTATTATATTGGGTTTCATTTATATGCTGCAATGCTTTGATGTCTCTTACTATGAGTTTAGGCCTGTTTTTTCTTTAACCTGGGACTCATCAGCCGATCATCCTGAATATAGATGATCCAAACTCTTATTGTGAGGTGAGGTTGAAGATTAATGAATGTTATAATGGATCTTATGTAACAACGAGACACTGCATTAGTGAAATTATGGGGTTTGGTTATTGATAGGTAGGTGAGCTGGTGAGCATATTTAAATTGCTGAGAGGACTATGTGTTGGCCAAATAAGATGTTGTCTTCCTCGTTAGACCTGCCACTGCCATACTCCATCATATTAGGAGAGAACTTGACTTGAGTAAGAGTATGTGACACGAGGAAATTTTGGTTCGATCTCCTAATATCAAGTTGGCGTAGTACACCTCCATGCGACTCAGGCAAATACATTAATACATATGTGTGTGTGTGTGACACGTCATATTAGGAGATCGAACAAAATTTTTTTCTCATGATAATATTACGTCGGTAAGCGTGAGACGACTAGATTGATCCATGTGGCCTTCCGTAGTTATAGGAGAAATCGATTCCCGACGTAGATTGAGTTGGTCGAGTCCCTCGAGACTCACCTATATTGTGATTCTAGATCTTGCATACGACGTAAATATGTCATCGGTAATATGAGGACATTGTATACTTGGTCGAGTGCCTCAAGAGCATATCGTCGAAAGAGCATATCGTCGAATTATACTCATCTTGTATTGATGGCGACGACTTAATATAACATCATGATTAGTCGAGTCCCTCGAGGCTATGATGGTTCAGAGACCGAACAGGATGGAAATCACAAGGAGTTATGATCGGCAAGTGTTGCATACCTTTTCGGGATTAGTGTGATTAGTCAAGTCCCTCGATGTTACACTAAGACGTCGAATGGATCCCGATCCCCACTAGAGATTCGTTGGGGGTCTCCAATTCACATATCGGAAGGAGTTGTGTGTTTCGCGAGAAAATAGTGGAAGTAGATTAAGATATAAATTTATATCTTGATTATTTACTTTTTTACAAAATCTATGTGTTATTTATTTTGCTATATCTTTATTTTTAGAAAATATCACTTTTAAATCACTTATGTGGCATAGTTAATGTCAACCACCTCACTACTCCAAACTATACAGATTGACTCCACAACATGAGAATCGTTCTCATAGCAAAAAAAATTACGTGCGTCCTTGACATAGTGATGCAAGGCAGCGATAAGCTGATTCTCTTATATTGCAACAACTACGGAGCGATTGCTCAAGCTGTTGTTTTAGATTGTCTTTAAGGATCACAAGGGTTTGATGAGGATCAGATACTTAGGTGATTGAGTTTAGGTCAAGTGAGAGATTGTTAGTCATAGGTGTGTTAGTCATAGGTGCCCTGCAAGCCAATCATGTGAGTGATGACACGTGTGATTGACTTCTTTTTTGAAAATTTATTCTTTATTCTTCCGTTGCGCATGTAACGCTACCTAGGTTTCCCAACACTCTCTTGTTAGCTTAAGGTCAACTAGCTTCTTAAGAGGGAGCACAACTTGAATTGCTTTGTGATACTTTAGATGAGGCTGTCCTCCCCCTTTTTATACATGAGGAAGAGGTGAAGTGCTAGCTAGGTTAGAACTTGAAGAGTCCTTAATGTTGGGTGGAGTTAATCGTTTTCATTTGGGTATTTGTAAGACTCTGAGGCTTCAAATTTTAGTAGAATTTTGATCAGAACATATATCGGCTAGTAAAATGTCTGTAATTTTTATTTCTTAGTCAATCAAATTTCTTATTTTTTTAAAAAAACTATTTCACGTAGAGCATGGATCTCAATTATTTTGGGATGGCGTAGATTCCATATCTAAACCATTCATTTTGGGTAAATCGAGTTACAAATTCTTTTCTTTTTTTTTGTTTAAAAAAATTATGGTTTAAGATAATATGGACTAATATTTTATTAAAGAGTGAGGCGGTCCCTCCGACGTTGCGACCGTTCCTGCAGCAGATCCCTTCTCCGCCACGGCCGTCCACCCCGCGGCCGCCAGCTCCCAAACCCACCTGAAGTCATCGCATGCATCAGCAACCTCCAAGGCTTCCCCACGAAAGCCGGGAAGAGCCCGTTTCCCGTTAGCCGACACTTAGCATCGGAATCCCACCCGGCGCCGGCAGCAGCCGCCGCGTGTCGCTGGCTCTCCCTCCTCCCCTGCCTCGTCATAATGGGCGCCGCTCGCTTTCCCTCCACATAGTAAGTTGTTGGTGCTGCTTGCCACCTGTCGGTGCCTTTTACAGGACAGAGGTTTGCTGCGTCGCCACCTTCTCCCTAGCTGCAGCGAGACGACGGGACGGCATGGGGCCTGAAGAGAAGAAGCAGAAGAAATGCTGCCCTCTGAGGAGGTCAAGGAAGGGCTGCATGAAGGGCAAAGGCGGGCCGGAGAACCAGGCGTGCACCTACCGCGGAGTGCGGCAGCGGACGTGGGGCAAATGGGTGGCAGAGATCCGCGAGCCCAACCGGGGCGCCCGCCTCTGGCTCGGCACCTTCAGCTCCTCCCTGGAGGCTGCGCAGGCCTATGACAACGCCGCTCGCAGCCTCTACGGCGACTGCGCCAGGCTGAACCTGTCCGACGACTCCGGCCCCAGGCGGCCGTCCGTTAAGTCGGAGGCCTCCTGCTCGCCGACCTGCTCGACGGAGACGAGCACCAGCGAGTCAAGGGCGACCTTCCCGGGGAGCGTCCAGTCGCCGGCGGGTTATTTCTGCGGCGGCGGGGGGGGGCTTGACGACTTCGATGACTACGTTACGGGATTGCCGAAAGCTGAGGATTTCGGGCTGGAGGCTTTCAGTGACATTCCGCTCTTCGACGACGTCGGCTTCGCGGAGACAATGTTCGACAAGGAACTGCTGAGCTTTGACGCCATGCAATTGTCGTGGTGTTCTTGAGCAGCTGCTCTCTCTCTCTCTC